GGCCATCAGTGAGAATGAAAAGGCAAGATGATTAGAGGGAAAGAGAGAATGCACATAGCAAGAGATAAAGACAAAGAGGAAAAAGGTGAGTGTGGACTACTGGAATGATTTAATAGCCAATATTTGAAAAGTGTGCCATTTCCTCCTCTGTCAAAGTCAAACTCTTATTCAGCTCCTCCAGAGTAACAGGAGAAATTTGATCACCAAGGCAGTAAATTACCTAAATTGCATTTTCTCTCTTTCTACTGTTCTTCCTGCTTTTTTCTCTCTATTCTCTCACTCTCTCCCTGCCACATTGTCTCTCTCTCTCTCTCTCTCTCTCTCTCCCCTCCATCCCAACATCGTGATGAAGATTGATGTGCAGGTCCTAATTAGCATCTGCTTTAGTATGCACACTGCCAGTCTATCCATTCCTAACCCTCCAATCAGTTAACAGACATGACAAGCCTTGTCCAATCAGATTAAGGCCAGCGGGACAGGCTTCCTGTGTGGAGCTGTCACTCCAGATGCATTGTGGGCTAGGAGACCATAATCATGTAACCTAGAGTTTTCAAATTGTGTGTACAATCATGCACTATATGAGGTTGTGAAGACAGAGTATGATATCATATAAATACAACACTATAAATGTGATTATTGTGATGTGATATCTTATTGATTAAAACCACCTAAGTTGTCAGTCCTGGTAAATGTGTTTTACTAAAATGTCACAGTGTTATTTTTAGAGATTGTAGATTCACTGATTGAATCTCACTGAAAAGACACTAAATAGTATCAAGAATTATGTCTGATATAATTAAAACATTAAGGATTGTAAGCTTAAATGTTGTTGTTTTTTACTTTTTAAGTCAAAGGTCAGGGTCAGCTACCTAATTGCTTCTTTGGGGTTGCTGCTCGAGGGCACATCATCAAAATGGATGCTTCATCAAGAGTAACAAAACCCAAAACCTGAATCTGTGTAAAGTCTGACAAAAAAATATGAACTGTATGTCTGGGGACGTATAAATTCATGACTACGTCCATGGCTTTTTCACTTAACTGCCTTTCTATGCAGTTTGACTTCATGAACATGGGACACTAAATTTCATAACCCAGTGGCACACACTTTTTTGCTTTGTCGTTATTTATCACATTCTCCATTACATTATTCATCCTTCCACACTTTGCCTCTGCCATTTCATCCATTTGAGTTCAGGGATACAGGGAACATGACAATGAATGATGCAACAGGGGGAAGATGTATTGCTGTCACTCATGTCTCTCCCTACACCTTCAGCCTTCCTCTACCAGGCAAAGGAATTGTAATTATTCACAGAAACAATCAACCAATCAGTGTGAACAGCATTGTTAAACACAGAGCATCACTATTGTGTGTGTCTGATTGTGTGTGACTTTCAGTATTTCTTCAGATTTGATGAGCTTTCTTTTCTCACTGTGTGCATACATGTATCCATGTGTGTACTGTATATCAGTGGTCATGAGACCTGAATATTAAAAGAGGGAGATACGTAGAGAAATTTTATGAAAAGAAAGAAATCCTTTGATAATCCTTGCATTTTCATGTGTTGTACTTCCTCTCGAATTGTCCCCCCCTCCCGTGCAAGTGTGTGTGTGTGCCTGCATCAAAGCCCTCCATCACACAGCAGTCTTTTGTTAAGTCCAAGTTATATCACTCTGTCTATGCCTCCACCCTCCCTTCCCCACCAACCCCCCCTTTATTCTTCGTATGTCAGACTACACTCCTGCCATACCTAGTGTTTCCACTAAAAGTATTTTGCTGCATCACGCCTCCGCTTGCCTCAAGAAATGGCAAAGTAACCCATCTAACCAGAACACAGTGTGCAGCAACGGTGCCACCTAATTTATTCTCATACCCACTGGTATGGCGTATCAGGAACATGTAGCTCAGGTTTAAAAAAGGCAAGTCAACAAATTGTTCTGTGCAGGATTTATTACCACACAAGGAATAAAATAATAAAATAACATAAAGAATATGGCACACAAACTGCAGCATATTGTGTTGCAGATTCCTCAAAAGCTGTGTGGGTATTTAGTGTGAACCCTGCAGTTTTGTTGGCACTGCCTCTTTGATCAGTTCTCCTTTTCGCGGGCTGTATCCCTTTCTGTGTGCATCCCGCTGTTTGACGTCGTTGGCTTGTCGCCTAGCGGTGCATCTACCAGGGCTGTGGCTCTCATTAGCACATGGTGTTGACATGACTGGCATCTCATCTGAGGGTTGTTTTCCTCTTTCTCTATCCCTTTTTTATTTTTCCATTTCCTACCAGCTTCCCATGCCCATTGTGCCTGCAGTTGCCTTCGTACACTCTGCTTCCCCCCCCCCCCCATTCTCATTCTCCCTCTGTGTTTCACTCTGTCTCACTCTGTCTCTCTCCCTACCAGGGGTTTTTAATTAATGGCGAGCCATGATGCTTATCTTATCAGCAGATCACTTTGCTTTCTATTAACTACACTGAAAGAGCTGGGAGGCTGCAGGCGATTGATGACACACACGCACATGCTCAAACACACACATATACACGGTCATCCACATTAGCACATCATTAGATACATTCATACGTACACTGAAGTACAGACACAGATTAATATGAAAGCAGTTGCAAGTGCATGTGCGCGCACACACACACACTCTGACAGACACAAACTCACACAGGAACAAACAGGCACAGAGGCAATTGTGTCCACATAAACACACATCATGATCCTATCTTAATCTTGCCACACACTCACACACATAAACAAACAAACTGCCCTGATGGTATCTGGCTGTGTGATTTAAGGAGTGTTGTTTGAGGGTCTCTCCTCCTAAATCCCCTAAATGCCTTGGGAATCCCTCCCTCTTCCTCCCTCTCTCTATCTCTCCTCTACCTCCCTCCTTCAGTCCTGCTTTATGGCTGAATGAACACTTATCATTCGGCAGATAAAGAGCCGTCCATGCTGGAGTTTGCTTTATCTGTGAGAGCCATGTTTACTCCCCGTGAACGCTCTGCTTTTCACAGATGTTTCATAGACCGCATTCGCTTGATCCGACCGAGATGAGAGCACGTGTCGAGGCTTCATTTTCTGCTGCAAAAACTTTAGACACACACACACAATCCTCTACCCCATCAATTTTAACTCTCCAGGCAGGTCAATTGTACCATATTTACCACATTTTCATGTTTGGGGAGGGTGAGCTAGCAGGCAAAATAAATCAACGTTTTTCACGATAGCTTGATGGGGATTACAGTGGGCCACATTTTGGCACAGAACAGTGAGCATGAAGGCAGAAACAACAAAATCAATCCTCAAACACCACAATCGATGGGAGCCGCAAAATTTCAACATAGGTTTTCTTCAGATCTCATTGAGAGTTGACAGTTTATTTGAAAGGAGTGAGAGAAAGAGAGACAGAGGAAGTTACAGAGGAACAGTTTACAGAGTAGTTATTGTAGAAAATATTACAGTAGATTGTGGAGATACACACATGCACGCGTGTGCATGCACACAATCGCCCACACTTTCTTGCACACTCATAATTTCCTCATTTGGGGAACTGTAGAAAAAACAATTATCAGCAGGCGATAATACAATAAAGGAGACCATTTCCTGGGTATTACCAGGGGACAAAACATTTATTTCACTTTGTCCAGTGTGCTCATAGGAGTGTAAACTCCTGTTAGAAAGTATAGAACATAACTCACACCACTCACACTGCAGACAGCATGCAGGCAGTAGTAATGCTGTGTTGTGCAAGTTTCTTAAAATTCATCTTATCTTTATAGTTTTTTTTTTTTGTTGTTGTTTTTTGGCACTGCACTTTGCATTTCACATAAAATCACATGCCAGTCAAACTATGCAGACAATACTATAATGTGTTTTTTTTTTCCTTGGATCTCCATGGAGCTTTTATAAGTGAAACTTTTTGTCTTCAGTGGCGGCATCTTGAATGACACCCTGGGCGAGATCCCCTACCTATTTTTGTTAGCCATTTCACACAATTCATGAAACCAAAATGTGCAATGATACTATAGGCTGTTTTATTATATTATGAATGAAATGTGCATTATTTGGAAGAAAGTGTTACTGACTTACAGTGGATTCCCAGTTTCCCCCCTTGTCCGTTGCATTAGGGAGACCCAGAGGTGAACTGTCCCCCCCCCCCACACCTTCTCAGCAAGCAGGGGCGCTTGCAGCTGTAGGGGGCGCCAATTTGCCAATTCCCCACACAGTGATATGATAGAACAGATAGATAATAGAAAACCGCTTCGCGGCGCAGAGGATTTGTGTTCGTGCTCATGGTGCTCGTGCCACCCCCCATGTGTCATGAAAAAATGCTGCCCTGGGCGGCTGCCCGCTACGCCGATGCCCAAAACCGCTACTGTTTGTCTTTGTCAGACATGGCGGCTACCATTTTGATTGTGATTGAAACACAGATGTAAAGCTTTTATGAACTCTCTATGTCAAATCATCTGTCCACGATGAGTTGAAAGACTGTCAAAGAACCACTGTGTTGTCCTTCAAGGAAAACCCAACTCCTCTTGAATCATTTGCATGCAGTACATGTGGAACTGGATTTTAGTTTTATTAGTGTTTATTTATAAGTGTTCATAGGTGCCTGCTTAACCTGCTGGCCTTAATGTCACATACTGTCATTTCCTGGGCCTGTGATGGGTGGAAATTATAATGTTTTGGCAAATTGGGCATTTATCGCGTGATTTGCATTGTGTTGTCCCTCTGTGTTGCTCAACTTGTAAAGCTCTTTCCCATAAGAAAACAGAACAAAGTGGATTTTGACGTTTAAATCTCTGCTATTCGTATGTCTTTCTCAGTGTATATTGTGTAACAGCGTAAGTGATTGTCTGAATATGTGTATCTCTGGGTATGCTGGGAAGAGTCTGATTTTATTGGACTACTTTCAGGTAATATCCTGTTTTCTAGCCAGATGCTTTGTTCAAGTACTGCAGGAATCAAAGTGTCTCTGTTTGTCTGTCTCTCTGCAGAGAGTTTGGGTGGAGAGATCCGGAGCTGCCAGAGGTGATCCAGATGTTACAGCACCAGTTCCCATCGGTGCAGTCCAATGCTGCAGCCTACCTACAGCATCTCTGCTTCGGAGACAACAAGATCAAAGCCGAGGTTTGTATCTATGTGGGTGTGTGTGCATGCGTGTTTTCAGTGTTTTGAGTATTTGATTAAAATCAGGACTGTAGACAAGGAAATGATTGTAGCTTGGATGATGAAAGCCATAAAAAAGGTGTGTAAGAGGAATCCCTTCTTCAACACATTCTTATGAGCTCTGGCTGTTTTGCATTTTCCTGCAGTCGCTTTCAAGAAATAGTGTATTAACTAACCAGTTCCACACTGATGTTCTGCATGATAAGGCTTGCTGTAGTCCCTGAGTGGTTCCTTCTACTGAGTTGTATATATAGTGCCAGTAAAGTTCAATTAGTCCCAGAGTTGGAACTCTCTAATAAACCCTTTGAATAAGGCTAGCGGTTCTCTAAAACAATGGCAGTGGCATATGCAGATGCACTCACATCCAAACCCACAGATACACAAAGTCTTTTCTTTTTCTCTCTCTTCAAATGCTTCTCAACACACATCCCTCCCCACCCTATAATACTTTCAGAATCAATTTACCAGTACATGCAGGCGAGGGCATTGACATTTTTTTTTCTTTAAGAAATTAATTTTAGCGGAGTCAGTCAATAGCTGCTACTGCAATCTCATTTAAAAGTGACACACACATTGCTAAAATGGCCATTCACACACAATTACAAAGGAACACAAACTGAAAAAAACACAACAGAAAAATTAATATTAACTATCTGCAAATGCAGGCAATTAAACAATGTAAACATGAAGACACAGCTAATTTTCATTCACACCGACCCACTTACTCACCCACACAAAGACACACATATACAGATTCAAAAATGCAATCACACTTGCATACAAAAACATCACACTTCATTCCACTCCCACTCTCTCATCCACACAGCTCCGATAGAAACCTAAGTGTTCATGTCTTTTGTAATGGGTTTAATTATTGCCTGAATAGAGGTGTCCAACAATGGAGAAAATAGCAACAGTGTATTGACAGTGGATGCTTTGGCCTGCCTTCATCAGTCTGTTTGATTGTCTTGCTCAGGGCCCAAGGCACCGCTAAACACTATTTACACAAATTCAATCTGGAAGAGATATCAACTGTCCAAAATTGACGCTTCGCATCACATCAAATAAAAGCAAGCATTCACATGCATTATATCTACATGCACACACGGCCGCATGTGCATTCAGTGACAAAATGTAACACGTGCATTGTGATGCAACAAGACACACATAGAAATGTGTCCTCAACCGTGTTTCTTAAATAGTTTTTAATGAAAACTTGATGATCACAAAGCCAGATATGGGTTATTAGTTTAGTTTCTTCTGTTAGAATGAAGCAATATATTGTGTATCCGTGGCTTTTATATTGATAGGAGTAATGAATTTTGTTATGATAAATAAGAATATTATTTATTTTTAAGCCATGTTTCCCATGGAACAAAGCAATAAACCCCTGATACCAATTTATATTATCCATTATAATAGTGCTTCTCTTCAGTTTTGCATTTACATTGTTCTATTCACACTTGAGAGTGAAAACATTTTTTCTGCTTCCTCCGTTTTATTTCTGAAGTGCTTTAAAACTCAATAGCACCTTTTATCGTGTTACATTTGATCACCCTAAGAGGCCGTCTGTGTATGTACTGTAAAGCCGCCACATTAATGATGGAGCACATCTCGGAACATCTTGACTCTCATTGACGTCTTTTTCTCAGATCTTCTTTATATCTGGCAGTATTCATTAAATTTCAATCAAAGGAAATTTTAAAGAAAGTTTCAGAACAAAATAAACATTTCATGGCCTTCATGAGAGAGTCTGTGAATAGAAGTTGGTTTTACTATTGATGTTTCCTCAACCTGCGTGCTTAATGTAATAAAAATTCCCCTTTTGTTCAGTCAACCTCTTACGTATCTTGGTGGATCTTCATGGTTGTGACACAGCTTTATTATTTTCTGTTCAAGAAGAGTAAATGTCTGTACGACTGTCTTTGTTCTGTCACAAAGAATACAAAACATTTGTAGGGTCATTAAATTGGTACAAATACAACATTAATCACATAAAAATGTTAGACTTTGACTGCCTATGCTACTAATGGGCAAATAAATGATGGTTCTGAGAGGAATAGATAAAAACCTACAGACCTTCCATACCCTTTTCCTTTATTCAATGACCTGCTCTTTGGCTGCAATTTATAAGGAGAAGTGGGACTTCAGTTGATGGAGTTCTGTGATAATTCACTAATAATTAACTCTTCTCCCCATCCACCCATTGACTTCTCAGTCCTGACTGTCGCTGTTAGCAATAATTTAATATAGATAGCCCTTCCATTGATTAAGACTACCAAGATTACAAAAACTAAGAACAAATTCACTTGTTTGATTGATTCTTTTTAGATCAATGTTCTTTTGATTGTTTACTTCATATAAATTGTGCATCCAATTATAGTTAACATAGCTCCTCTGGCAAGTTCACAGTATCTTTCATCAGTGTTGCCTATTGACTCCCATGATGGGTTTGTCAGGAGGCTATGTTTAACTTTGCTTGACACAGGCACCTTTCCAATCAGCTGAGCGTGAAGACCAAAACCAGGGAAGGGTATAGATATGGTTCAAAACTGTCATTTTTATGATTAGAAATATTATTAATTTTATAGTCATACATATGGTTGTTTTTATGATTAGAAATATGGAATATTTTTTGTAAAGGAATTCAAATTGAGTGATTACGTTTGGGTGCAGAGCACAGTATTAATTTTTAATAAAGTGCCAGGATTTTGATTTAGATTCTAATATCTCACATCTAAGGTACCTTATATTTCGTAGTGTCATAATTAAAAAAATTTGAACACAGTGTTAAATGCATGACACACTGGCTTTGTCACATACACAAGCGATGTCACGAAGCCTTCTAGCGATTTCACATATCCCATTATAAAAGTAGTACTTAGTGACAGAGTTCTGCTGTGTATGAATGTGTGTGTGATTATGTCCATATCTGTAAACTTGCCTGTTTTAAAAATAACCTTTGACAGCAGTGATTGAATATGCATTTCACTGGCAAATAACGTGACAACTTTATTACCCAGGGATTCATAACAAAGCAAATGTCACAAAAGATTATGTAAGTAAGTGACAGTTTTTGTATTTTTTTTTTCTTTTCCTAAACCTTGGCAGACCTTACAGATGATGTTTCCTTAAAGGACAAGGAGGTCCTCTGTGCCTGGAAATGTTCTTTCTTTTCTTTTAGGGGTCACATGTCGTAGTTTTGTCCTGCAGCACCACTGCTCCTTCTTGTTTTAGATTCACAGCTGTGTCCTGAGTTGTTCAGAAAATGCCATTTAAACATTTGACAGCTACTTTCACAAAATAATAATTCCCACAAAATCAAATCAAATAATGGTAATTTTGAAAGTGTGGCAGGTAATTTAAGTCACTACTTGACAGTACTGAAACACGCCCTATATTTTTGGGATATTGAATAGTCACTTCAAGATTTTTCATTCTTCTATTTGTATATCTTCAAGCAACAGGCTGTGATTTCCAGTTATTTTAGAGCTTCTTAGAGGCTTACTTAAAGCATTCTCATCCAATAGAAGAAACTTATTAGTTTAAAAAAATAAAAAATAACAGTAACACATCAGTAAATACCAATATCAGATATTCAACAAATATATAATATTATATATACTTAAACAAGAATTATTGTATGTTATTGGTTCTTGAATTTGAATAAAAGTAGATTTTCAAGATATCACACTTTACATTATGAATGTAGATGGTAGCTATTTGCTATAAGCACTGATCTAAAGACTTTTCTCAGCCAGACAGACACAGATGGCCGGGGACACACTGAGCAGCTAAATACAGCCACAACATGGCTGCTATTTGTTGCTAAAGAGATACTCTGCAGGGCCGGGGTTGGGGAGGTGGAGTGAAGGGCAAAAAAAGAAAAAAGTAGAATATTGCTTTCTGTTATCTGTCTATCTTATCACGTAACAAGAATGCAGTCTGTGGTTTTGGAAAGTGTGGAGAAAGATGATTAAGCAGCAATTTGTCTCTGGATGGCAGACGCGTGTGCACGCTTTACTTGTTTCATCACAGGTGTGTGTGCACTTGGTTATGTGGGAGTGCATGTGTGTTTGGACGAGGTGTGTCTCTGTGTGTGTGTGTTTTGTGCCTTATTCTGTGCTTATTTTTTAGAATTGTGTTTGTTGTGTATGTTTTTGTGCCAACACTTTGGCAATAATTGTTTCTAACATGCATGCCATTAAAATACATATTAAATTGAAATTGAAATTGACATTGAGAGAGAGAGAGAGAGAGAGAGAGAGAGAGAGAGAGTCTGTATCTGTGTGGCAAGGCAGATGGAGGTCTGGCCTCAGCTCAGATTACAGTTGACCACAGAGGCAGCATGGCAAATTTATCTTCAGCATCATTTATAGCTGCTCTAGACTCATACACACATATGGCACCCACAGACACACACACATACTTGGATGCAAACAGTTACCCATACGTTGCACACACACACAGTAAAAGCCCACTGACATGTCAGCTCATGCATCCATGCATCCCCTTTAGGTACACCAGCACACACACACTGTGTCGGACTAAAGTTCAGTCACATCAGTAATTCATTTTGGGTAGCAGCCTTGTCGATATCCATTTATCCAACAGACCAGTTGAAGGGAGGGGAACGTGCCCCCTGACTCTGTGTCATTCCTCCCCCTCCGCCCTCCCCACTCACTCTCTCTCTTACACCTATCCATTTTGTTTATCTCACACCTCATATATCACTGTATGCCACTCCTACTTTATTTTGACATCGATTACCTTAATTTCCTCTCCTCCCACCTTTTTATAATTTAAAACGTTTTCTTTTTACAGCAGACCTGCTTGAATATACAGCAGCGTATAAATTCAGGGATCTAATGTACGGGTACTGGATCAGATTACATTGCAGTTAGAGCTATGGTATATTTTCACTGTTTTACACTTTCTTGTAAGCAATGAGGTGAAGTCAGTATGATAATAAAAATCTGGTTTTAGATTTTTAGACCGTGAACTGTGCAAACTGCAAGCCGTGATTATCTTTTAAACAGACATCAGCATGAAAGATAAGAAAGACAGAGCGAATGATCCATAGCAAATACTGTAATAATATTACATGCTTCTGCACAGTGAAAACCATATGTACAATGTTCCACTCTGATCATGGTGTAATGTTTGCTGTGATGGTTGAAGCAATAGCTTTTTTTTAAATTCCAGTCTTTAGCAGGTACATATCACCTCTGGCATCAATATTCTGAGAACTTCCATCAATGACGACAAATTAAAAATACTTTCATAAGACTGACATATTTCAGGAGGAGAAAACCCTCTTCAATCAATGATGTTTTTTTTGCACTGAAAGGTCCAATGACATTGAGGAGGACCTATTGGCAGAAATGGAATATTTATAACTATGTTTTCTATCACCTGAAAATAAGAATTGTTAGGTTTTTCTTACCTTAGTATGAGCCTTTTATATCTGTGGAGGTTGTGATTTTGTAATGCCATGTTTCTACAGTAGCCCAAAATGGACAAACCAAACACTGGCTCTAGATAGGACCGTGTGCTTTTCTGCGTATTTCGTGGCCACCGTAGTGTCTCCTTCCTGCTTGGAAGGGGAGGGTGAAGCAAGAGAGTTACAATCTGCAACTACACGGCTAGATGGCACTAAATTCTAATGGGTCCTTTATGCAAAGCTGTTTATAATTCCTTCCTTCTGGGTTTTTCCTACCCACCAGGTAACCTTTAGAGAATGTGTCTGGTTTGTTTTCTTTGGTCCAGTGGTCTGAGTGCTGAGAGTCTGTGGATGTAAGTTACAAATTCATAATTTTTCTCTGAAACGTTTCTTGTCACTCTCCAGAAACTGGTGTCAAAAAGCTAGAATAACCCTTCAAAGTGGGTCTACATCTGTATTAACGGTCATATGTTAGTATCAAAAGGGGACCACCCACTCAATGACACATACACACTCACACATTGGGATTATTAGGCACTTTCCCTGTCCCCTGCTTTTAAGAGTAATGGTCTGTGTTTTCTCTGTTGCCTTACTCTTCAAACAACAGAGTAGAGCCACTAGTGCATTTGTCAAGTTGGGAATCTCATTGCTGCAGAATTAGCTGTGCCCCTGCCTCAGAACAATATTAGGTAGACGTAGGTTATTAATGCCATTCTTGGCCCAGTTTCGAATGCTCCAGAGGGGAATGTTAGCCTTGGGCCAAGAACTCAATTAGCCAAAGGTTGAAAGGCTCTAAAATGCAGTTAGCCCTAGGCTAAGTGTCAGGGAAAAAACAAAAGTCCTTGCGTATGTGTATGCCTGCCTGAGTGTGTGTGTGCTTAAAAAAGGTTGAAAGGTGTGACACATCTTCACTTACTTGCAAGCAGTAAACTGTATTCAGTGTGCTTTGGCTTCACATGCCACCATCCCAGGTATGTGTCACCCATGTATCCTAGTGCCAGCTTTCACGCCAGCAGCACCTCTGATTCCCACAATCGCAGCTGTCACCACTGCTAACTGTTACCACGGCAATGCTGTCGCTATGGGTTACCAATAGCCGTGGCCGCCACGGAACAGCGGGAGACAAAGACAAATCAATCTGCGCTTCTAATCTTCTTTACATGGAATAGAGGAATAGGTGCAGAGATATTGGCAAGCCTTGTAGGTAGCTCAGAGGCAGTACAAAGTAATAGCACTATGGCTTTTATGGAATAACAGATTAACTGTGACACAAGCATAAAGAGGAGATGGGAGAAGAGCAGAGATCAGTGCGAGAGAAGGGAAGGGGAGGAGAGGAGCAGAGGTGAGGACTGGGGGGCATAGGAGGGGCAGCAAATCAGGTTGAGGAAATTGTGTGGCCAATGGAGCAAGGTTAGTTTGCCATTCATTGCATCCCTTAATCCATTTTAATTGAATAGATAAGCAAAGTCATTTTGCTCGATAAACTCCTGCTGTGTCATCAAACACCTCCATCCTCTCTGCCCTCCATCACTTTCTTATGCTTTCTTTCTCTCCTTTCACCCTAATTCACTCTCTCCACACATATTTGTCATTTGTATATTGTCACTATGAAGAAATCAAACTTAAATAGCCCTTGTAGACATTATGACATGTTTTCTTTTTTTTCTTTTCTTGCTTTACTTATGCCAGATGTGTGAGGTTTCCACAGGAGACAAAATAATGAGTGCCAGACATAATCACAAGAAAAGGTCTGGAAGTCTATTTATTGCACTTTACTTTCTAACTTGTCTGTATGGTAAACTCCACCTATCTGGTGCTTAATGAAACAAACAGTCAGAATTAGTGCCAGCACTTAATGTCCCAGGTCTGGGGGAGAACATGCAGAAAAATAAAAGAGGGTTTCAAGGAGCATGATTATGCAGTTAACTGTGAAAAACTTTTTTCGAGTTATCTGGCTGAGTAACTCTGCCTGTTACAGTACTCCAGAGATTAAATAAAAGCAGAAGCGTGAAAAACAGGCGCTCTCTCTCTCTCTTTTTCTCATGCGCGCACACACACACACATACACACACACACACACACACACACAAACTAGTTGCTCTATCTATGTTACAACTAGTCTCCTGGTGATCACAGCAGCCGGTTTCTTGTGATTAGTACTACACCCCTGTTGACTGGACTAAACAAGGGTTGCTTTAAGCTCTTTGGCCCCCTAAGGCCTATGAAGATCCCTGCAGTGGAGAAGCGATGTGTGAGGGTTTAAAAAGCAGCAATATGGAGAGAAAGCAATGTGTTGCACCATAGGGGGAAGGAATTGTGTGTAACACCATAGGGGGATGGCATAATGTGTAACACCAGAGTGCCCTCATTGCTATCCCTACTGGGCTAACAGGCCTGACTGCCTTGTCTTCTCACAGAATCAGGATATAATCATAAATCTAGACTTATTGGTTTGTTTGTTTCACATGTCTGTGTGTATTTATATCAGGGATGTGCATCTCTATCACTGAGGCTGATGTGATACAAATCTTGATGGAATCATCCAATACATATGAAGCAACTACCAGTGTCATACGAGTCACTGTTATTGCGATGCAGTGTGATTCGACATGATTTGATTCAACACAATGCAATTCAACGAGATACTACGAGATACGAGATGCTATGCAATTCAATATGGTACAGATAGTTTCATTTGATTTCTTTGGTCCCTCTTAAGCAGCTTGAGAAACAATTTATGAAACAGAAATGTTAATGATAAAAGGGTTAAAATGGTGTAAAAGTTGTGTTTTAGATATATATGACTTGTGGGCTATTTTAAAAAATACAAGCATTATTTTTAACTCACAATTGCTTTAGATTTTTATATTTATATTATATAACTGCATATTTCACAGCATATTATGGATGTTTAATTGTAATGTCTTGATCTTGGCCTAAAACTGTAATTTACAACTATAAATAATAAAACATTTAATATTTGCATTTAATTAAAAGATGCAGAGGGTAGGGAACACAAATTCCTATTTGGTTTCTGATATTACTTCTCATCATTTTAAGTTTATATTATATATTTTCCATTTCCATCATAAACACATCCACACCATAATAATTCATGGTGGGTATAAAATATACAATATATACAATATATATACAATAATGTTGTATAAAGCAATTCAACCAGTTGTCTGTTTGAAGAAACAGTTGTGCCTCGCACCAATTTCCCTTTTCAGATAGCAGAAAGCGTCAGCAGTAATGGGTTAGTCCAGTGTACATTTTATGTAGGGAAATGTGAACCACACAACCACAAAAGACAAATGCAGGCAGGATGAGAGACAGGCAGACATGCATATGAGAGGCACAAACGTATTGTAGTTTTGTTATATTATAAGCAAAGCTGGAGTCACAGCTCTTTTCCTTCTCTCATCAGTGTAATTAAGTGTCATTTTGTGAAAGCATAGTCATTAGCAGTGTCAGAGTATGTTTAATTAGTACACATTGGGTTATTAATCTGATTGGCAGGACTGACATATACTGTAGGCCACACACACACTCCCAGACTGTACACACATACCAAAGTAAATACCTGCATTTACAAATAAACTGTTGACCACCAACATTTTTCTGCCGGCTGATGTTAATTTCAGTCTAAGCATAGCAGAATAATAGAGACATTGTGCACAATTTTGCATCTATCTGAGTCTACAAAGACTTATTTAATAAAAAATGTTTTTTTGTTGTTATTGTTTCTTTGTTACATAGATTCATTCAGTTTCTTTCACCTTCAGATCCGCAGACAAGGAGGCATCCAGCTGCTGGTTGACCTACTGGACCACAGAATGAGTGAGGTTCACCGTAGCGCCTGCGGAGCCCTGAGGAACCTGGTGTACGGCAAGGCCAACGATGAGAACAAAGTGGCCCTGAAGAACTGCGGGGGGATTCCTGCCTTGGTCCGCCTGCTGAGGAAGACGGGAGATGTGGAAATCAGAGAGCTGGTCACAGGTAGAGTATCTGCACCTCTGTGTATATAGCTGCAGCCATTTTCAAGTATGATTCTGCTCCTGTGGCCTCAGGAGAGGTTATAATGGTGTGTGTGTGTGAGTGGATAGAATTTGATATGTGGAGATGCGAGTATCACACCTACACCAAAACTGGGTAATTTAATGTACCATTGCAAAACCTACCAATACAATACAAACATTGCAAGAATATTTCAGACAGAGCAAGAGAAATAAAAATAACTTTCTGTCTTGGTTTTTAGTTTACTGCTGTTTGTTCATTTTATTTGTTTCTATACCTATTATTTTGGGAATTTAGTAATCGACTGTGTGACTGATTACTCTTAAGACTGTTTTGGATGTTCTAGTCAGTAAATCCAAAACATTTAATACTGTGGTACCCAGCTATGACTCATACATACTAACACACAAAGACAGGAGGGACACGATGCATGCATTCCTAGAAACAAACACACACTTTTACATACACATAACCACAGTGTATTCAAGTCTCATTTGGCTTGACAGCGGCAGTAGTCTTAGCTGATTGATTTTATTTCATGGAGAATTTATACATTTAACTTTGACTGAAAGAATATTCTTTAGAAAAGGTTACTATTCACGCTGCAGAAACCAAGGCTGTTTCGTCTTGAGTTTCTTCGGATGCCAACAATATTTGATATTCAGAGTTCTCCTCAATGGACTGATAGAAGAATAAGAATGCAGAGGGAGCAGCAAAGCAGAGAGCTTTTTTAGTTAAAACATCGTTTCTCATGTTTTGCTATGTGTGCGCTCAACTTTTTTATCAAATGGTTAAGTTGTAATGCAAATAAGTTTGTCTTGTGTGTTTTCTGCAGGGGCGCATGCATACGATCACAGAAACGTGTGTCCACCTAACATTCGTGTCAAGTCCAGCGAGTGTGATGTTTTACAACCATTGGTCAATCTTGTTTTCACCTTGAGGGCATGAGCAGTACAAGTTAGCCAGTGCACTGGAGACAGACACGTACAACAGTACACACACCCACACAGACAAACTTAGAAATGCACATGCATACACACTCAGATGTACAGCACTTATTGTGGAGTTGCACTCAAATATCTGTGTAGGCAAAAGATGTATGGATTATATTTTAACACCCACCTAAGCACACAGACTTTACATGAGCTGATATAATCTGATTTTAGTTGCTCCTGAAATAGTTTGCAATAGGCCTCCCACAAGAATTTAATATTCTTCTAGAGGCCCTTTAGTACTGCAGCAAACACGAACGCATGCACTTCGTCCCTCTCTGCTTAACACAGATGCTCACACTCACACACATACACCACCCCAAGCATATGTAATCTCAATGTGCAGCCACAGTTAGTTTCCAGCATGACACTGGTTCTACAGCCTCAGGACAAGTGTGTGCCGATGTGTGTGTGAATTATGTTTGTGTATCTATCTTAGGATTTAGTCTGTAAAAGTTAAACTCTGTGATACTAATGAAATTCAGCAAGTAGTAATCAGACAAAGACAAAGACACACATGTGGCACACAGATTTGGCTACAATTTATATTAATCGGGTGAGCTGTGACCAGCCAATCCTTGCCTCTCTTCTTCTCATTTCTCCTCCACCCATTTTCTCGTGTCACTCCCTCTCCTCTTGACACTCTTCTTCTCTCTCCATTATCCATATACATGCTGGCCTTCTATGTGGTTCAGAGTCTTGCGTCGCATTGAGGTGGGCCGTGTGTATCTGCACTTGTATCACCAATGTTTCTCTCTCTTTGCTCAGACAAAAGCCCTCTTTCTTGCACCAGGTAAGCCATGAGATAAGAGAGACATGCTCACACTCATACAAGAGGACATCCCCAAAGATAATAGTACAATCGCACACTCATTCACTCATACACACACAGACTCAAAGGGACACACAAAACTACACATAACACACGAGCACATGCACACACACCGAATACTGAGATAAAGTCAATGGGGGCCCCCTCATGTTCAATTTGACCTCTGACCCCATTGTTCTTCAGCAGGGAACAAAACTCATCTTCAAGCACACGCACGCACACGCACGCTCCAACATCCATCCCTAGACACGTACCCATAGGTCACTTGCTCTCCGGGGAGAAACAGGACCTGGTAGATCACAATAATGACATCCAGCAAGCCAGCGAGGAGTTTTGTGTCTCCTTTTACAGACCCCTTGCATACTGATAACAACCCACCAAAGAATGGTGGACAGAAAAGACACAGGATGTTGGAGAAGAAGGAAGGAAGGAAGGAAGGACGTTGTTATATTTATCCGACCTCTTCACTTTTAGTGACACCGCTGTCACAGGTTGGATGGAGGCAGGAAATACAACTTGAGAGGAACAATTAGAGACATGCAGGTGGATGGAGGAGGAAGAAATGTTGAGCAGAAACAGGAAAGATGGAAGGAAGCAAGCTGTTACTTCTTTTCCTCAGACATGCTATTGATATTAAATTTGGGGAACACAATTGGAAGAAAAGGAGTGAAGAAGATGGGGAGAATGAAGAACAAATGGTAACAGTGCTTAGTAGGAAGGATAAAAAAGAAGGCAAGGACAGGGAAAAATTTGTTAAGGGAAAAACAATAAGGAAGGAGGGAGGAATGGTAGTAACATCCAACAAGGGTTTTTTTTTATGTTTGTGCAGACTCATGCTTCTCTATAAAACAAGTTTTGTTTTTATTCCAGATAAAGAAGCGAGAATGTGCACCAATCAAAATTCACAGAAAGAGAATTTATTGTTGACACTAAGCCTTACATGTCAGTGATGACAGTCGCCAGACTTCGCCTATAGGGAGATTCTGGCACCTTGAAGAACATCACTACAGTGCTGCAGAGGCTAAGAGATTAAAAACATAGCTTGGAGATGGAGTGTGTGTGTATTTGTGTGTGGTCTGTAAGCAGATTAACAAATGAATTAAATGCACCGCAAGTCATACTGCATCATATTTTGAGCTCTGACTTTTATAAATAGTCATCTTGCACAAACACACCACACACTGTGAAATTCTATCTTCCCTTTGCCTGACTCTTCCTGTCTTTGCCCCTGTCTGTCTGGCTCTCACTGCTGCTGGCTGAGTGAATCAGTCTCATGCATAACTCTACCCTGTTGTCTGTTTACTCTGGTACTTAGCATTGAACTCTACATTTCAACTGCTTTCATGCCACTGCAACCATATTTTGAAGTCTATCTTCATTTGCCTTGCGGAACACCCTGCTGGAGCTGTAATTCGCCACTTGAAACTGTTGCGTAATTACTCGGTAATTCAATTAGGAATGTGTTTCAAGTGTTGTTTTTTTCTTGTTTGTTTGTTTCTTTTTTTAACAAATAGAGACAATGAGTGCAGTGTATTACATGTCTTTTTTATGCTGCATTAGCCATTGACACAGTTTTCCTTAAGTGTGTCCAAAAATTTTGCACAGTGATACAATGCTTGTTCATTGTCTTGGCATGGATTATAGAAGCAGTAACTACACATTCAAGGGATCATTGGTTGAGATTCTTGCACTGGCTGGAGAAATGAAGACAAAGTAATTGTGAACAGGACTGAGCCACTAAATGCTTTGGACCGTAGTTGTGATGGGCAGCTACCAGATGAGTCTGCGTGAATGTGTCTGCACTCCTTCCTCAGGCCAGTGCTGCAAATACCATAACAGTGTAAAAGTTGTTAATTAGTATTACAAAAACAAATCCTTGTTAGCTCCTCTGCACTGACATGTAGCACGAAAGCAGTGGATATATTGCTCTGCCAAATTACATTTGTCTCAAAGCTTGACCTTCATTACTAATTGGTTGCTAAATGATTTGAAAGCAAGCAAATGGCAGTTTGTGACCACCAGGGGTTCATCAGGGGACACTAGACACAATTCTCAATTGCTGGACTCAAAAAATGTGGTTGTGCTAAAGTCATAACAAATCAGCCTCCTCATTACTGCGCTTGTGTTGTCAGCTTTGTCAAAGTATTTCCTTATTCTCTGTGATAAAAGAATCTGTTTAGGTCTGAGGGGATGAGACAAGCACTATGTTCTCATTGTGTTTTTTTTGATGACCGGAAAAACCTTCCTTCTACAATTTGGCCTATCTCCCTGTCGGTTCTGAAGCTTTATTGGCTTCATGGGTCTCAGTGTAAGGTAGATAGGATGAAGTCAAGGCTTCCGGGCCTGTCAGTAAAAGTCTGGTTGATGCAGAGGCTTTGTGTGTCAATAGAAGATGCTATCCTTACTCGTAGGCTCACCTTGAGGCAGTGGACCATGGGATGACCCTGCTGCAGCTGTTGCTACCTGCTCTGAAATGGTTGTTGAGCTGAGAAATTACTGCAGAAGAAAGTCACATGTTCAAAATGTATGCATTTGTGCAAATATATTTATTTCAATGATTTGAAAACTGAAGACAAATGTACATATTTTGTCTGATGTCTTGAAGTGCTGATTAATATTACATGCATTGCTTCTGTTTACCATATGCAAATAGAAAAGTGATACAGAAGTGACCAGCACTATTCTGCTTCTTCAAGCTAATGATGTTGGCAACAAATCAACAGTCAAATAATATTGCCTTTACTGGAAAATTCTTTACTGTGGTTTCTGTTCCTTTAAGGCACAAATCACTGTTCTCCAAATCTCCATGTCCCCACTACTGTTATAGTACTTGATAAAGCCACTTTAATTTAAGTCAAAGCTTATCACCTTCTTTTAAGAAGGCTTCAGGACAGAGCTCCATCAAAGTCATTACGGGGGTTCCCGTGGGGACTCGGGTACCTTCACCAGGATGACTTTTTTGCTGCTTCTATGATGTTATGAAATTGTTAGTGTCCTGCAGAAATTTCTCTGATGCATTTTCACTGTGGGAAGCACAGGCAGTGACAATTTACCCCACAATGCAGAACTTTACCTAGTGCTGACAAATGTTTTCGACAAAACCTACACGATGTGAAGTTGTTTGACCCCAGGGTCGAGTCAGCAATTGTTAACCTGCTGCTACCTATAATACTATCCAAAATCAATATTTCTTGTTTGATTTTTCAATCACAGATTTGTGTAGACACATTAGCTATGTAATTTGTCATCTTTTGCTTTACTCATCACCAGGTTCTGACCCCGTGGCTAACTAATTCACATCGAGTCACACAGATGAAGGCTGTTTAATAAAACATTGCCACTTGAGGCCTAACAGGCCTCACTCTCCCCTTACAAGTCATACTCTCATTTATTCATGAATTCATGCAATCATCTCCACATTTCCCCAAACCACCCAGCTCCTAGGAAACTGTCCGTCAAGCGTCTTAGGGGAACTAGTCAGAGGAGGGTGAGAAAGAGATAAAGATAAGGAGAGAGAATGGAAGAAAACACAGACACGTACACACACAGGCACACACACAAAGGCTGTAGTATGATGTCATTGTCTGTTGGTCACCTGATGTTATATCCATAAGGACACTGGGCTTAGCGAAGCATTACAGATCTATGTTTCTAGAGCAGGTGTGTGTGTGTGTGTGTCAGCCTTGAATTTGGCCAATGTTAGACAGTGGCAGACACAATGTCCTTGCCCCAGAAAACACTGAGGAGTCTATTCCTTTGTGTTTTCCCTCCTTCTGATCAATCTCTGTCTGTATCTCTGTCTGCAGAAAAAAAAAAGAATATCATAACCCCACCCTCTCACATACTTAGTGTGTGTTGTGCGCACATGTGTCTTTATTTGCGTGTGTGCCGGCTCATAGGTGAGAGAATCCAAGCAGCAGACAGGTTTTTCGTCAGCTCATCACAGACAACACTGTTTTAACGTGATTGCAATCACGCTCTGAAAACACTCACCACTTGAGAAATAGACCACCACAGGAAGAAAGAGAAAAACCAGAGAGAGAGACAGAAAGAGATGTATGAAAACACTGAGGTTTATAAGTGAAGTGTTTTGCCCAACACGTGTGTCTTCACCCTTGCTGAAGGTGTCACCCCCTGAGTGTGTGTGTGTGTGTGTTTGTTTTTAACTTGGTATGAAAAGAGCCCATGATAGAGGAGAGAGATTGAGAAGAAAGAGGGAGACTCAAGATGTTGAAACAAGAGGCTGATTAGTAAAATTGAAGGCAAATGTTGCTACTCTCCCACACAGACGCAAACACACATACACACACATATTCACACATACAGCCGGAGTGTGAGCGCTTGATTGCTGCCAAACAACATACAAGGTCATCGCCTTATTATCACCCTCCTCTTCTTGTCCTCTCAAGATCTCTCTCTCATACACACACACATACACACACACATTATCGTCTTCTTTAACTTTCTATCTCACCTCCTTTTTTTCTCTTTTCAACTTTTTCTCACATTTTTTTATCTATTTGTCTCTACTTGCACTTGTTTTATACTTGGTTTATTCTGTTACATTTGGATCTCCTCTCTCTGACTCCATTTGGCATTCTCTTTTACTGTTTTTCTCACAATAATATTTTGTTCCTTTAGTTTCCACATAGGATTTACCTATTACTTTAATTTTTAACAACTGTAATTAGAAATTAACTTTTCTTCTCCTTAATTGCTATGGGTTTTTTTTTTTGTCAATGGCTTTCATTCCAATCGTTTTGTGTACCTCCCTCTACATCGGCTATTCTTAAATATTATTCTGTATTTTCTTGGCCTGATTTTCCTCCCGCCTTTGTCTGTCATTTGCAGATTGTCATGATGACTGACACTAGCGCAGTACACTGTAAGGCATCAAGACCAGCGTTGCTGTTAGCGACGCAAAACTGGCTGCTAGTCAACACCCAGTGCCTTCATGGCAGTTTGTGTACAGTCTTTCAGTGAAGTGAGGCTTAATTCAAATCTCTTACTGGTGACACAACATGTCCTGACCCCTTTTCTCTCCATCTTTTTAGTAGAATACCTTTCCTTTCGGTTCATATGTGCCGGAGATAAATTGAGCAAATTCTGTCAAATTAATTTCAGTGTACGCTTCTGGATTTCTATAGTTTTTTGTTATGTTTTTCAGTCTTTTTTTACCCCAGGCAGGTCAGGCAGGTCAGGAGGTCAGAATTAGCTACTGAGCAACCTCCCTAGAGCTTTTAGGAATTCAGGCTCTTGCTTAGCTTCAGTATTGCTGTCGTTTCAGATGACAGACAGTATCTATAATCACTACCGTGCAACTCCCTGCCGCCCTTATGTTTCATTTACATTCACAAGCCCTGAGCAAAAATTGGATTGCCCATATTGTGTTGCGGAATGAACAGGACATCTTTTAGCTGCCTGACAGCCTCTATGAACACGGTCCATTGCGCACAGAGCACAGAGTGTCTTCAGTTGTGCCCATATTTTATTTGTGTGGTAACTGCTCAAATGAATGACATCTGTCATCTGGGACCTGTGACATCTGAAGCCTGATACTGAAATACATGAGAGATGGTGACCTTCAACACCACAGCTCTTTATAGTTTGTCATATTAAAAAAGTGTTGCATGTCTTCTCTGTTGTCTCAATCTGTTCCTGCCTCTCTAAACCATCACTCAGCTCCTCCAGCTCTCCTCCCCTCTCATTAGTTTTCTATTTCTGTGTCTTTCATCTCTGTCGCCCTCTGTTTCACACATGTTTGTCTTATTGTTTGTTACTATATCTGCTTTTTTCTATCTGTTGCTCTTTGGGTAGGGATGACCAGTGCAATCAGCAGGGACTAATTAACATATTTGAATCTGAGAATACTGATGGAGCCTGTGTGTGCGTGTGGCTGTGTGAGTTTGTGTGTCACAGCTGACCAACAAGGCTAGTGCTGTCACCAGTCTGCGAAGAGGCATCTGGTATTCCATCTGACAAAAAGAAAGAATGTGTGTGTGTGTGTGTGTGTGTGTGTGTGTTTACCCATACTGTATGTAATTAAGTGTTACAGTAGTATGCATGTGAGTCTGTGTGTGTGTGCAATATGTGTGCCCTTGGAGGTGATTGGAAGTATCCTTGTATACATTCAAACTTGTACAAAAAGTTTTTCGGCCAACTTGTGGATGTGTGCACATTGTTTGACTGTATATCTCTGCATATGCTTAGAGTGTATTTGTGTATGTGTGTGTGTGTATGCATTTGTGTTCTCCACCACACAGTGTGTGATAAATGATGCACTGGTTGGGCAGTTGGCGTTCTGCCTGGACCAACAAACTAATTAATTTCCTCAGATATCACAAGTATCAGGTAGATTGTAGAGTCGGATTCCCGAATAAAAGAGTGGGTGGCATTCTCAAAATTGATTTTAGTCAATTTCTTCCAGCATTGCCAGTCCTGAAATACCTCCACACTTCATTTGTGATATTCGAGTGCAGTGGAAAGTTCTGTCTGAGATCAGTATTATTATGCAGTAGGTTAAAAACAAAGTTTTGGGTTGTTTTAAACCAATCAGAAGGCCCCGCTTCAACTGCACTGACCTCACAAAACACAACGAGATGTATTTCCTGTGACATTACTGAGAGGTTAATGGAGCTTTTTGCTTTAAAATTCCATGAAATATGCGTCTATGAATGATATGCGGAAAGTTGACAGAGGGAATGAAGTGGTGGAAAAGAGGGCTGTCCTCACTTAGCCATGCTCTGAGAACACAAATTTGACAGGAACATTAATAGAAAGAAAAAGGCATAATATATATTATTATAATTGTGTATTTTTAATTATTGCAATAAATAACACATGCAATTAAATTTGCCATTAATTACATCATTACTTTATGTTTGCCCTGTAATATTCTTTATTGTTATTTACAAAAGAATGCAAACATTTTTAAGTTATTTCTTCGGCGTGTGTGTGCAGGCGTGCTGTGGAACCTGTCATCATGTGATGCTCTGAAGATGCCAATCATCCAGGACGCTCTGGCCGTTCTGACCAACAGCGTCATCATACCCCACTCTACCTGGGACTCCTCCCCCAATCACCATGACGACCGCAAGCTCCACCTCCATACCTCCCAGGTGCTGCGCAATGCTACTGGCTGTCTCAGGTAAAAGCAGCACACAAACACATACCCTGAAGAACACACACACACGCCCCTGACAGAATTGCTCACTATAGGCAGAGGATTTTCTTCCCCTCTCTCTTTCCTAATTCAACTCTCATGTAATACAGTAACATGCACTTATATAAATACTGTGTGTTTCCGCTTTCTTTCTTATCCTTCAGCAAAACAGTATATAGATCAAATTGTCATGTTATTGATTTATTGTTGAAATACAGTAGTGGCATGCATTATTCAACATGGTATAATTAAGCCCCACAGTATATGTGAGCTCTGTGTGTATGTATGTGTGTGTGTGTGTGTGTGCAAAAGTATGATTTATATAATAATACCTGCTGAGATTTACCATAATGAGACAATTGCATGGTGTGTGGGAATGAGTCTCTTTTGAATCTTTACTCCTGTGTGATTATAGATGTATAAATTCACACAACTATAAACAATGTACAGTTGTTCCTCTCTCTCCCTCTCACCCATTCACTCTATCTCTCTCACACTAACTTGTACTGGTAACCATAGCAACAACTTCTTTAATTGTCAAAGTCTTTTGTGTGTCAAGTTATTTTTTGGTGCAGTGTGCTGATAAATTATAAGTTCCTCAGTTGTTCATCACCCACTGAGATTTGATGCAATACACATAAAAATAAGTTGATAAAGAAAGTCAATCAAATCTGATGTTATTCATATGCTGACTTTAATAAGGTTTGTTCATTTTCTTGGCTTTTTTGTGTAGGCTCTACACATTACCTCTATGATCAGACAAACAACACTCCAGTCAGCTTTTGTTAATTCCAGGAAACATTTTGATTATTTTAAGTGTAGTTTGACTTTGGTTTGATCTTCAAATTAGTAATGATGCTAAAATTTAACGTTTGTACATAGCAAAATCCCCTGCACAAACATACTATAGTTGTGATTTTTTATATCTGGCTGTGTTATGTTTGGCATCTATGCCATTAGCACAGAAAATGAGCTCTGGTCCTTGATCCCATAAACAACATTTGTTCATCTATGTCCACACACTCTCACACCAACTCCTCAGAGGGCTGAGACGGTTTAGAAAAAAAAAACTCCATGTCCACTTGGCCGTCTCCCTTTGAGCTGTATACTCAATCAACCACCAGCAGCCTCTGGATTAAACCCCACCACGCTCGCTTTGCAGTGCTTCTGTCAAGCTGTTTCGAATGGTTATCTCCAGCTATTGAATGTCTCTCAAAAGCATTTCAAAGCCATTTTGAAGATGTTACAAACAGGTTTTGTCTGTTTTCACATAATTTTGTGTATAAGGTGCACTACTGTGTGCATGTGCATGTGCTTGTGCGTATGCAATCTACACACCAAAGCAAAGTCTGCAGTTGCTCCAGTCATTGTTCCATTTGTGATCACTTTAAATATGAATACTAGCTTTCATAATTGTGGTCTTTCAAAATATCCAAAATGGTAATTGCAGATATTGACTTACTGGATATTTGCATACTTCTAGTCATGAATGCTTTTCACTTAGACTTCTTTGACCACTGGCTGATGAGTCAAATAGACAATGATCCAACCCTAACCCTTTCATATGTGTCAATTGTTATTAATCTCAATGTGTAAAAATATCTTAAGCATAACATCACCATAGTTCTTGTACATTTCTGTATGTTTGCTGCACTAATATTGTATTCCACCTCAGAGGGTCTACCAAAGTACTCCACTTTGATTTGTATTCTAAATCTGAACTACAACTTGCCATGCTGAATGTATTGCTTGTATGCAGTTAGAGGCAGCATAGTATAAATAAGCATTTGGAGGGTAAAATCCACTGTAGTTTTTTTGTTATAAACCTCTCTGGTGTTTGTTGTCAGCACTCTAATGAAACAGCACAGGAACTGCCACAGGGGACTGTGGTACAGGACAAGATGATTATACACAATAACTCAATATCACAAACACCTGTAAAAATCTAATTCAATGCAATAATAGCTTTGCATTTGCCGTAAATATTACATTTGGGCAACTTATAATGTTATATTTTTTGTTAGGATGAGTCAGAGTTGTACAGTGCTGATATAACTCTTTTAGGCTGTTTTGCATTATTGCATTTTCATTTGGGTTGCACTATATTTTGTCCAGCTGTATGTGGAAGGGGACAACAACACTTTACACTTTTAGGGGTTTGAGAGGATGGTCCAATAGGTAATTAATACTGAAATATCTTCATTTAGAGACAGTCATTATTAAATGCATAGGAAAAATTATGGGCGTATATAACTGTACTTGCAAGGGTACAAAGCATAAGTAGGATTAGGAGTTTTTCATTTGTGTAATACCTGTGTAATGAAATTGATTCATATTTGTGTTTATACAAAGTTGCTACATCACTAGATGTGCGTTAGAGATAATGTGTTTTGTACCTTAAGATACAATTTGTACAAATTTAAAATTAAGTTGAAATTGAATGGAATTTTATTTGGATGTTTTTGCTATTTAGGCCAAATGAGTTGATAAGGTTCTTCATTTCATATCACACATGTTAAAGTAATAACAACAATACCAATAATAAGTTATGTTTAATATGGTATTCACATGTTGTGGTGTTTCTTTTAGTTGTTTGTTTATCCCAAAGCATATTGCCTTAAACCTTTCAGACAAAGTTATCAGTTTTTGCCAGTAATGTCTGTAGACTTTAAACTTTTATGTCAAGTTTATTATTTCCTAACTCACTAAGGTGTTTATAGGAGTTAAGTGTGTGTGTGTGTGTG